CAGTTTTATTTCCCAGTAGTCCTCTTGTACTTCACTGGACAGCTTGCATATTTCCCCAAACCTGTTCTGTTACTCTTCCCTGACCTTTCATCTGTATTACTTCCTCTCTCTAAATGTAGAACAATTTTCCTATTCAAGTTTCAAAGTCTGTCCTATTCCAACTCAAAGGGAATCTTTATCAGAGCACTCAGGATTCTCTGCTTTAAGGTATTTATCCTTGCTTCATCTCTTTCTTGACAGATTATGGACCCTTTGCTGGTATAGATTATAGTTTATTAATTTAAAAAAATCAAAATCCCTCATGTTCTTAGTATACTGCTCTGCAAATAATGTAGACTAAATAAATGTTCGTATAATTTGTTTGATTTAGTGAAAGTCTCTCATTTAGGTGTGAAAAAAATCGAACAGTCCAAAGATCAGAATGTCTTCACTGGTAATGGAGAACAATTATCTACAATCTATGTCTAATGAGCTTCTACTGGTATATCAAACAGATACTGTGCAGCTATCTAAAGGTTATCAGTGGCTGAAGAGGTCCTTTTCCAGTGGACTCAGTTTGTTTCGGAATATTTATTCCTGCCACATCTTATCTAGGCACATCCTTTCCCTCCCCGCGCCCCCAGCAGAACTGAGGGTAGATATCCTGAAGCCAGATTTGTTTGGTAGCTTGTACTGGGGGAAGCAAGAGCCACTTTGTGCAAATCTCTCTCCTAGTTCTGACTCAACCTTGAGCCTGAGGTTGTGCCAACAAATTAAACTTGAAGGATACAATATAGCTAAAGATCCAACAAGTCTCTGACTGAACTGTAGTATGAAATCTTTGAAGAAACCTAACCTTCTTCCTAATTCAACTACCCGCAGCTGCTCAGGCCTGGGCATAACTCTTCAGGAGGTTGGTTTCTTTGAAGGAAAATGCACGTGCTTACGGATATAATTGTAGATGTTTAGGTGGAGTTGCCTAATAGTGCAGTCTAACTGGAATGGAGTCATGGCTTCAGTCACAAATTCACTGCCTCCTGGTTCATGCAAATGCTCAAGCTCCACCAGATGGCACTGCGGAGTCACCAGTGACTTGAGCTTTTTCTACTACAGAGGTCCGTTATCATCATCCACAGGTGACTGAGGTCATAGCAATTGACAGGAGCCTGAAATGCTTTACGATGGTGTCACAACCTCCTTTAAACTTATTTCCCATTCGCCAGGAATTTGTGGATGTTGGTAAGTGTCAAAAGAAATTTATCACAAGAACAGGATAATAATATTCCAATTTCCCATACAGGGTCCCACTGTCAGCAGGTGTCTTAACTGCCATTTGCCTCCTTTGGATTCAAGAAAAATATTAGTTGTGCAGGCTTACAAAAGAATTGATAAAGTCAAAATACAATCCCTGGAAGATGAATAGTTATTGAGTGTACATTAAAAAAAAATCAAAATTTGCAGATTACTGATTTGAATATTTAGAATATGTTAATTTGACTATAATCCCTCAAGTCATAAGGAAACAGAGAATGTCAGAGTTAGAAGGTTCCACTGTATATAAAGAGAAGAGATGGTCTTTCATTTTCTAACCATCTAAAGTAATAATATCTGTTCTTAACATCTCCTGGACTCCACTGCTGGAAATCATGGGTTCACTGGGTTATTATGGGCACTGGTCAACCAGCTCCAGCATCCAGGACTCACCTTGTGCAAGCAGAAAGTCCACAGTTCCTAGGTGGCCTTCAGAAGCAGCCATCATCAGGGGAGTACGGCCCTGCTTGTCTGCCATGTTGACATCAGCTCCATGGGTGAGTAAAAGATCAACAATCTGCAAGGACAGAGAAATAGGGACTAATTAACCCAAGAAGAGCTGTGAAGAAGACACACGCATACCATCCCTTATACTGTGTGAACGCCTACTGCTGTGTATATGAGTCACCTCTATACATAGCTTTCCACTGCAAGAACCCCCTATAAGTACCTGTACAGTCCTAGTACCATGTGATTTATTCTCTAACTCTCTTAGCAACAGCCAAATGAGAGGGATTCAACTCTGAATATCTAACTCAGCTACAAAGTAAAAAAGAATTTAAGATAACAAAGGCCAAGATGTAGACTAAACAATTCCATAATGGAAGTTCCAACATAAGTCACTACCTATATCAGTGCCATTTTATTACCCACTAGCAGTTGCAAATTTGCCTGCAGTTAGTATTTATGACAGAACTGAATACAATAAAGTGCCTCTGATAACTCTTTGGCATTGTTTGGCTTCTATAGCCTTTTTTTCTACTTAAAACTTCCAAAAATTATTATCAATATGCTTTTTTTTCCCTCCCAAGTATATAAATTAACATTTATCCAAAACCCAAACATCTGGAAAGACTGTATAACTACAATTTGCATACACTGCCATTTTCTTTTATCAAGTCTCAGACACCTCCAAGTAAGTGGTTAGCGGGGAGTTGTTGATAAATGAACCTTCCAGTGAACCTCTGGATACTGTGAAATGTAAGAAGGAGGTCACTCCATGACCAGGACAAAAGTAGTATATACAAAAATAATGGTTTTGAATGTTAACTTTTTGTCATATTCCCAATTAACCAGAATATTCCTCAAACCTGATCACTGCTGGGTAACCCAAACTTTGCTTGTGACCTATTTTGTTCTCTGCATCAGAAGTTCCTACCCAGAACTCATTCCTGCCTGAGGGACTGGTAGTTGCTATCCTGCTTACCTGCCAGTGGCCCTGACGAACAGTGCTGAATAGGGGCACTGCGCCTCGGCGGTTTGGCTGGGCCACTGCCGCCCCTTGTTCCAAGAGCAGACGACACACCTCCAGTTTGCCCCTTCCTGCTGCAGCTGTTAGGGCTGAGCGCAGAGAACAAAGAGTGAGGATAAGTGGTTCTTGTCCTCTCCAGTCCTCAATAAAGAATGGTAGTATATTTGTGTTTGATTAATGTAATTGCTACTTTGACTCCAAGAATGATGATTTTAGCTGACTTTTCCATGAAGGAAAATTTTAAAGAAAAATAATAAATAAAAACACATTTAAATGGGCACACAATATTTGGGAACAATATAATTGTATTATAATTGGTATTATAAATACCAAATCTATTGAAAAATCATTTTGGATCAAATTCACTTGTTTTCATTTTCCCTAATCTGACTATTTTCTCTGCTTTGGCCTACTTCTTTTTTGGTACCTCTTTCTAACTACAAACCCTCTACTAGTCTATGCACGGATGGAATCTAGAGACAAAGGCCTTTGTAAAGATAAGGTCTTTTTTTAGAATTAGCTGGGAACTACCTTTAGCCAATCTCTACTCCCGGGCTCTCAAACCCTCTTAGAGAACCAAATTTAGGAACTGCAGTCTAAGGGCCTTAGGCCAGTTTTCATTCTTTTTCTTCATTAGTTGAGATAGAAGTTTCTAGTACATTTGCAACCATTTTTTATATGAGAATCAGAATTGTTCAAGGTAATAGTCTTGAAGATGAGAAAAGAGGTATGACAAAGGCTATTTTCTTCTGAATATAAGATAATGGTGTCACAGGTAAAAAAAAGAAAAATAGCTGTAGTGAGTATAAAGGACACAGCAGGAAGAAACTTAAACATTTTCTTCTTCTGCTATTGTCTCTTGTTTACAGTCTTGGATACACTGGAGATTCTATGAATGCCTATTTTGTTCTCAGAGTGCCAATTCAATAGTAGAAGGAAGACTTTGGAGCTACTAAGTCCATCTTTTAACAAATATGTACTTGTTTCATTTAATCAAAGGATCTCAAATGCATAGCTTTATTGTTTTAAAGAATGGATGAAGGAAAGGGAGGGTGGAAAACAATGTCAGAACGTGGTAGGAGTTATGTTTCATTTTAAAGAAAGAAGACAGAGAATTTTTTTCCCAAACTGACTTGGAAAACTGATGTGGCAGTCAGCAGGTCCTTCCTTTGTTATGGCCACCTACTCCAACAAGAAATCAGAAAATGATAATATTTGGCAGGTGCAGATACTACAGTTTGAAAATGTTGGAATCTAAACACAGAAGCAACTGAAATTCAAATCAAATGGTCACTTGCAAATTATGGCATTCATTCTGTCTTTGGGCTTGGCCAAATTTATCCACAACTGAGTCATATGCAAAATCTACCTGTAATTTCCAAAAAGATAAACCTTCATGTAATCTTTTCCTTCCACAAGGACAAGAAGGGCTTATAAAGGAAAATGTGACAGTTTTAGAAGATACATGCACTGTTAACCCAGACTGATCTGTGGCTTGTCTTATGTGTATTTTCAGTTTTATTTTGGACTCTTTACATTGACATATCTGTTCAGTTCCTCACAGGAGGGCAGAGGCTTGGTCCTATCTGAGGTAAGGGTCATTTCCAATCCCTGACTGGATGAGTTCAGGTGTTGATGGCTATGATTATTTACTTGAAAAAGAAGTTTTGCCTCCTGTTCTTTAAACGCAAAAGATCTTTCCTCTTTCCCCAGTTCATATTTCTAACAGTTCCGAAAAAAAAATTGTTGAGTTCTGTATATGGGTCAGAACACAAGAGTAGTTTAAGAATTTGCCTGGGATAGACATTTGTTAGGAACCATAAGAACCATCTTGTTGGTGCATAAACAACATTTGGAAAATTTCTAACTCCCATACTCTGATCCAATTTAAAGTGGCTACTAGGTGATAGGGTTACAGCAAACCTCCCCATGTGTGGGAGCCAAATACATTCTTTTTCACAAAAAGAACTTATAGCATCCTGGAGAAAATATAGACAGTATTTCAGAATTAAGCCTTTCACTAAGGATGCCAGTTCACAGAACACGCTTGAATTTTCTCAATCAGTGCCCATCTGGAAAGCTACAAAGTCTGCTCTAACAATTCCATTGCCCTCGATGGCCCATTTTTTCACCACTGGATACCACATTTATATAAGAGGGAATGTTCCATTTGGCCTTTTTCTTTGTTGTTTAGGTTATGATGTCATTTGGCAGCAACTTTCAGCTGATAGCTGGACATGGTTATTAACACAGCTGGCCAATTTCATCTCAGAACAACACAACTATGTAAAATGGAATCTGGACTTTTCAAAATCTAAGAGCAAGGAGTTGCTTTGGCTGAATTTTATATGAATCTTATCAAAAACTGTTAAAACTTTGTGAAAGAAAGGAGATTAAGGTAAAGCCGGTTCTATAAAACACCAAACTAATTCTTAGAGCAAAGAAAGCACTTAGGAGCCAAACCTCTTTCTAGGGGGCCGGTAACAGAATTTGTTCCCTAGCTTGTCAGCATTTGATGAGATTGTGTGACATAAATGGTCTTTTTTCAAAGGAAAACATCTAAGGAGTTTGAAGAGGCAGACAGGATGCAGCTTGGAGTTGGGGAACCAGCCAAAGTCTGCTTGGATGGTATGCTGACACTAAAGAGAATGCAGAGAAGCAAATGACTCTTATCTATTTTCAACCTTGAAAGAGTACAGTACAGACAGATCACGTAAGATCAATGAAGGGGAGAAAGGAGAGGGAGGTGGTTGGGGAGACATAAACTGATCACTGCTATCCGAAACTACATTAATTAAACATTTATTGAGCTATGTGTCAGACACTATCTCTGCTCTCAAGGAACTCATGGTTGAGTTCGGAAAACAGACATATAAATACATTAACATACAGTGTGATAAGCACAATAGAGATATGTCCTTGGCACAGAGGTAGCACAGAGGAAGTGTCTGAGAAGGCCTCCATGAAGAGGTGACAATGTGAGCTGGATGCTGAAAGATAGATAGGAGACTTATGGGTATGTAAGGACGGGGCAGGTGGCATGATAGGCAAAGGGAGACCATGAATAAAGGCATTGAGGTGGGAAGCAACATGTTTATTGTTATTGGGATGGTTGAAGAAGACAGGCAATATATGAGGCTGGAGATCATGGCTGGTCTTCTCATGCTACATTAAAGGACTTAATTCTACAAGTAGTAAATGAAGGTCAGTAAGCAGGAAAGGGACACAAACAGACTATGGCTTGAAACAATCACTTTGGCTGAAGTCTGGGAGATGAGTCACAAAATGGTAGAGGCAGATCAGTTAGAAGGTAGTTGCAACAATCTAGGCAATTGACGATGAGGGCAGGAATTAAAGGGATCTGGCTTATTTTGTGAACTCTGGCTTCTACTGGCCCATGTATCTCCAGAGCTGGCCTCCAGAGTGGCTACAAGATCTTAAAGCTAGTCCTGGTCTGTGCCTCCAACACAAGGGAGAAGAGGGGGTGGTGAACAATCTTGCCACCTTATTGGCTTTTCTTCTGTGTTGTTCTGTAAGAAGTCTGTGAAAACCCTGTGAGATGGGAGGAAGTCATCCAAATGGTGAAAGCTGGATGTAGAAAATGGTATTTGGAAGGATAAAGAGGTTGCAAAAGGAGGACAAAAGCGACCACAATATTCTAATGATCTGCTTCTAGAAAATCCGATATGTAAAAATTATATCTCAATTAATATTTCATTATATGCTAAGATGTATTTCATTGATTCTAAGATTCACTCCCTCCCAATTTTAATATCTCTTAAATTGGGATGCATCTTTTTTTTTTTTTTTTGAGACAGAGTCTCACTCTTTTGCCCAGGCTGGAGTGCCGTGGCGTCATCCTAGCTCACAGCAACCTCAAACTCCTGGGCTCAAGCGATCCTACTGCCTCAGCCTCCCCAGTAGCTGGGACTACAGACATGTGCCACCATGCCCGGCTAATTTTTTCTGTATATTTTGTCTGATTAATTTCTTTGTATTTTTAGTAGAGACGGGGTCTCGCTCTTGCTCAGGCTGGTTTCGAACTCCTGAGCTCAAACAATCCGCCCGCCTCGGCCTCCCAGAGAGCTAGGATTACAGGCGTGAGCCACCGCGCCCGGCCGGGATGCATCTTATAATTGATGTGATAATAAAGAATTGTGTCAGTTTAACTAGCAGACGTGTTTTTGTTTTTGTAGTGGCACATAAAATAATGGACATATAGTTTCTTAAAGTTAATGGTGACTTAGATTTGATGGAGTAAGTGATACAGATTATTGGAAACATTGTGACCACTGTATTTTTCTTAGGCAAAAATTGTGTTATTCAGGTCAGGGTGGTCAGGGTTGCAGAGATGAGACCCCCATCAACTAGATGCAGGTCACAGACCAGTTTTATATGCAAAAATACATATGATTTTGCCATGGGAGGAAACATCACAATTCAAGGGGTCATTATAAATTTTAAATGATCATGTGCTATAAGTTAGAAAGGATCATGTATACTTAATAGACATCATTGTAGAAAGAAAAGTAAATCAAAGTCCATTCAATATTAGTGTTGAATTGTAGGATCATGTTCACATAGCAGAGACATTATTTTCCAGAAATTTTTCTGAAATTAAATATTTTTTCACGGATCTAGAAATTGTATTACAGATACATTTCATTTAACTCATATTTAAACAGCATTTTATGTTTATAATACTATAATCATTGCATTTATATTACATATATAAATTAAGTTAAATGCAACACAATCCTGATTACAAGCAAACTGACATGAAGTTTTGCTTTTTAAAATCTTGAGATATGGTACATATGCACAAAAATGAATGTAAAAAATTTACTGTATACTTTATAACATGAAATATTTTTAAAATCTTGAGGCCATAAAGTTTTATTCTAGTAAGAAATTCATATCAATAAAACAAGTCCTCCATTTAGTTCACAACCTTCTTGAACATTTTTAGGATTTCTTTCAAGTATAGCACTAGAATGTGCTTGATATAAGACTATTAGTCTTATAATTTCTATCCATTATCACCACTGGGCCATGATTCTTTTTGCTGACCTCCGTGGTTATATGCTCATGCCCTTGGCAACAAAGGGTCTGTTGGGAGATACAGCAACACTGTGTTGGGGAAGGTCGTGCTGATAGGAGAAGTAAACCAACATGTCCTTTCTGCAGCTCTAGGTCACATATGCATACTCCTTGCCAGTTTCTCCCCCTCAGCCTGTCCCCTGGCTTCCCTCAGGGTGGGGTTCCAGAGACAGCAGCTGTTTCCAGCTGGATACTTTCCTTTAATCTGTCATGGACTCTTAAGCTGCAGCTGCCTGGCATCTGCTCCCTTTGGCTCTTACAGAGGGAGGAATAGTTTGAGAAGTAAATTCCTGAGTTTTGGACCATTCCATGTGATGTTAAAGAAGTCACGAAACCTATGTAAGATTTTGTCATGAGAAGAAATATCACAATTTATCATTATAAATTTTAAATGAATTCAAGAGTCTTCACTTATTTTTAGTAACATGTTACCCTAACCAAAAATGCATACTCTTCTTGTTTAGTAAAATATCATCCCTAAATTGGCCATCTCAATATTGGCCTACTTCTCCTGGAAAATATGACACATATCTGTGGTTACTCTACAGTTTTTTTACTGCCCTGGTTTCATAAAAACACATCAAAGGTTACTAATGTTTCTCCAGATGCTCCAGTTTAGACTTGGAAGGAAGACAATAATAATTTCTTGCAAAGGCCACAACACAAGGAATAGGCTTCTGTTGGTATAGAAGTACCAAATGATACAGAAATTGCTTTGCTACAGACCAAGAGGAATTGCACAAGGTTGGGCCTTACAGAGTAGTATTAATACCTCCATTGTGCATCCAGATAGCAACTTTATTCATAATGTATCAGCTTAATTGTGTCAGATGCCACTCTACAATGGTAACACTTGGGTAAGCCAGAGGTGTGAATAAAAACTTAACATCCTGGTTTAAAAATGCAGGTGGAAAGAGTTATTTTGATGGGAGAAATATGTATTCCTAATTACTACAATGATCACATAAAAAAAGAGAAAGGCCACACTTATTTTCTGCTCTGGTTTGGCACATTATAAGTTAACTTTCAGTCTTCTAAGAATATTTAGAAACGACAGAGGGGAAAAGTTTTTCTTGAAAGAAGATTCTGGTACTAACAGTATGGAGAATCCAAAAGGGAAAAGGATTGAAAAAGGGAAATTGCTTGACTTTTTACTTTGGCTGAATGGTCTCAATACAAAAGTCGTAAGACAGACGACTGCCAAAGGTATGATAGGGAAGAAATAAGGGTGTGAGATGTGAGATACACAGAGTCCACACAAATACAACACCTTCATGAGAGGAGAGAGCAATGTCCACGAGCAGTACCTGTCTCTCCCCAGAGACTGTCAAAGCTGTTGATCTGTGCTCGCTCCACTTCCTCTTCATCTTTTTCTGGAAGATCAAGTAGGTAGGAGACAATCTGAAACAAGAAGTTGTGTCAGCTCAAACTTCAGGTGGAAAACTATGCTATGGACACCAATCTGTGAGGTTTGGAAGATACTTGGATGATTCAAGTATTACTAAATCTCTTGCACACAAAAGGAATCAGAATTGACTCTCCTAACAAAGAAACTCAGAGCTGCCATGATGAGCATTTGTCCTATCAGGTACATGTTTCTCTAGAACACAATTCATTTATATAGCATGTGATTTAAAAAATTACATATTCCTCATATTTAAGTTAAAGAAGCAATACTTCATCCTCCCAATAAAAGGACCACAGAAAATAAATATGAGAAAATTGAGGCCTGAATTTCTTCAGAGTAGAGCAATTATCTTTCTGTTTCCTCTCAGAATTATAAGGACTAGTAAAGGGAGAATGACCCCTAACAATAAAGAAAAGTGATAGCTCTGCTTCCAGGAATTTGACTGTATAAAGAATTAAAAACCCTTCCATAGATAATAAAAATTTTGATTTTACTTAATATTCCCTTGGTGACATATCAGGTCAGTTGATAGGGTAGCTGTTTCACTGAGCATCCCATGCAGTGGTGTGGAGCAGGCATGTACTGGCCCATGAGAACTGACCGTTAAATCTTCAGGAATTTTGCAAGCTACTTGTTCATTAAAAATCAAATAACTATTAAATAAATTATATTAAAAACAAAGGTTAAAGAATACTCAAATCCCATAACTTCCTAATTATTTAACTATTTCTTACTATCATCTATACTGTTGAGGTTATTTGTATTTATTGTGTCTGTATGGCAGAAATATTACATAATGGTGTGCTATTTTGCACTTTGTCCCACCTTTGTGTTCAGTGATGTCACATTGGTACCTTGAAATTTGCCATGGTGGGAGTATTTACACTTTGGAAATTGGCAAACATTAGAAATCAGGGTTTGATATATTGCTAATGCTGAAAGAGGTTTCAGTTCAATGAATATAATTTGTATGAGGATAAGAAGTAGTTTAACAGTAGATGACACAGATTTAATGGCAATAAAATTACTGGGAAAAGAACAAATTGGGATGCAACTCCATTTGTTAAATCATGGTTATACGTTGCAATCACAGATTAGCTACAGATACAAATGTGGCAAAAATCAATAAAAGCATTCACTTAAGAGTATTGTGCATTTCATTATTATTTGTAAATTGTGAGAAATACATTCTTTATATCACTAAAATTTATAAAAACCTTAAGTATGTATACACATACACTCACACAAATCACACAAATGCCTGTTCCTCCCCATTCCCCTCCTTGGGGTAGGTTAACACACTATCAATTCCATATATTTGCCACCATTAGTATCATCATCATTAATAAATTAGCAACATATAAATAAATTGTATAGTGTTTAACAGTTTACAAAGCACCCTTCATCATAGCCTTATATAAAAGAATTTATTAGCTTCATTTTACTCATGGGAAACTAAGGTTCTCAGAGATTAGGGAAATTGCCCAAGGTCTAGAGCTAATGAATAGCAAACCTGGGACTCAAACCTGGTCCTCCTGAAATTCTGAATGCTATGGTCTTCCCATGCCACCTTATCTAACCATGTGACTGCAGGTCAATAATTAATCCCTATGAGCCTTCATGTCATTGTCTGTTAAATAGGGGTGGAAACATGGGGAAGAATGAGATTAGATAATTTCCACAGTCCTTTCCAACTCTTATGTTCCTGTGCCCATAATTCTAGGGACATCAGTATTTCAGTAGTCAAGAGCTTCATGGAGTTTAATCTCCTTATTCTTCAGAGCAATAATAAAAAATTCATATTAATTGGCTGGCAATTTTGTCTTAATACAATCATTTTGTCTTAGGTCTCCAGATTTTTCAATATATGCCTTGGAAAAATAATCCTATCACCTACTTCTTACCTCAGTGTAACCCATGCTGGCTGCAGCAATGAGGGCCTGTTGAATGGCATGGCTTTTCTTAAATACTCCTTGCTGCTGGCCGGCCATTGTCCAGTCACACTGAATCAAAAACTTGACAACCTCTAGATGACCTCGGAGTGCAGCATGAACCAAAGCACACTGCCCATTCTTATCCAAGTGATCCACCTAGGAGAGAAGACAGAAAAATCTTTGTGAACAAAGACATGGGGCTATACTCTCAGTCTAGTCACATCAGCCCATCGCACATGTCTGGACTACTAAGATGCATCCTTTCCACTCCTTGAACCAATCTCTGAGCAAATTTAAAAGGTACTCTACTCAGACTGGATCATTACTGAGCTATGGCTCTGCTAGATGTCCCTTTGGAGAGAACTTCTTTTCCCCAGAAAAGGTTAGGCTTTTGTTTTCACATTAAAAGAAAAATAAAAAACAAAACTCTCAGCTTGAACTTTGTTTTCCTGAGTTACATTCTCCTTTGATCTCAAATAGTTCTTTTCAGACCAAGATTTGAGAGACTTGTAGCTCTGCTGGCAAAAAAAGGTCTTTGAAATCATGAAAGGGAAGAAAAAGGTTTGAAGCTATAGTTTTTTGGTCTTCCAAAGAAGCCCAATATCTCATATCATGAATTACTCATCTGACCACCAAGCTTTGGCAAAGGCTACTTCTTTCTTCCAGTGGGAGGACAAAATCTCAAAGCTTTGGCCAAAATGGCTAGAGGCATTTGGAGCTTAATGCTAGACTAAGCACCACTAGCAGTTTTTATAATTTCAGTGTAGGTTACAAGTTTAGGCTGAAAGAAGAGCCTTATTAAGATCAATCTACCAGAAGGACCTTAGCCACAAGTTCCAATAGATGAGCAGCTATTTCTGGCATGTAGGTGGTTACTTGTCCTGTGGTAGCTAGAACACTGAAACAGAGGTTCTGTTCCAGGCTTTCCCATTGACTTCAATTCCACCCAGCCATCCACATAACGAATGTTTATGGAAAGCCTAGTATGCGCATTACCATTTAGGATAAAAAGGTGAATAAAATAGTAATATACAGATTCTATTCTGAAGTACTTTAGAATAAGATGGGGAGATGTGACCAATGTGACAAAAACAATGGCGTATATAATAAATGTCATAAGGAAAGTAAACACGCAATAAAATTTCAAAGGAAGGAAAAAATTAATTCCCAGGGAGAATCAGGAACAGATTGAGAGGGAAAGGTCTATCTCAACCGGCTGAGATAGGACATGACTAATTTATTTTACTTTTTGTAAGGGTAGGGATACATGAAAAGGAAGTTTAAATTCTGAGGTGGAGAGGGTCTTTTGGGACCAGAGCATGGATATTTTTGAATGCCAGGCTATATGGTTTGAATTTTAATCAATAGGTAGTAGAGTCTTTGAGAGCGTTCATGATCAGAACTTTATTTTCAAAAACTAAGGGGATGGATAAAAGAAACTATGGCTCCATGAAGAAATGGTTGATTCTAGGGCTGGGGCAATAATTGTAAAACATGAGTCTAGATAGAACATCTTGTAGTGCCAGAAAGTAAGGAAGTGCTCAAAAAATAATAGGAGAGGGCCGGGCGTGGTGGCTCACGCCTGTAATCCTAGCTCTCTGGGAGGCTGAGGCAGGCGGATTGTTTGAGCTCAGGAGTTCGAAACCAGCCTGAGCAAGAGCGAGACCCCGTCTCTACTAAAATTAGAAAGAAATTAATTGGACAACTAAAAATATATAGAAAAAATTAGCCGGGCATGGTGGCACGTGCCTATAGTCCCACCTACTCGGGAGGCTGAGGCAGTAGGATCGCTTGAGCCCAGGAGTTTGAGGTTGCTGTGAGCTAGGATGACGCCATGGCACTCTAGCCCGGGCAACACAGTGAGACTCTGTCTCAAAAAAAAAAAAAAAAAATAATAGGAGGAAATTGAAAGGACACAGGAACCAACTTGGAGGAGTTCCCAATGGCCAGATCTGGGGTAATTTGAGCAATAAAATTCATAATAATGGTAAAGTTATTTATAGAATAAATTAATATCCATGACTCCATAATGATAATAAATAAACACATGGAGATGAAGGGACAGCTTTTCTTTACAGTAAAATTCCAATTAATAAATGTTGAAGGAATAATGAAAACAGAAAATCACTGTTAGGCTAACACCAAAGCAATAAGTACTGCAGCAAGAATAATTCATAGATCCTAAAATTAGTGGCTAAAAGTATGATGAGAAGCAGGCTATCCATCTGCCTAGTCTCAATCACCTCCCTAAGAGATATTTCTTAATTGCAAAGGGGAAACAGTAACTTCAGTGGAAGACATTATACCTTGACCAGAGTTACTGAAGTTAACATCACTTGTAATAAGAACATCATGTACCTCAAATGCTGCATTTTAATTAAGGGCATAGTATTGCTTATGTGGTATTCTTTCCAAAAATACATAAACTCAATTTAATCATGTTTTAATCATGAGAAAACATAAGACAAATTAAATTGAAAAACATGCTACAAAACAACTGCCAGGATTCTTCAAAATTGTCAAGATCATAAAAGACAAAGAAAGATTCAGGAGCTCTCACAGATTAGAGAAGACTAAGGAGACACATTAAATGTAATACGGGATCCTGAAATTGGCTCCTGTAATGGAAAAATATATTAGTGGGACAACAGGAAAAATTTCAGCAAGGTCTGTAGATTAGTTAATAGCATGTTATTAGTATTAATCCCCTGGTTTTGATAATTAGACTATGGTTACTTAAACATTAGGGGAAGCTGGTTAGAGGACTTATGGGACTCTCTGCATAATTTTTTTCTTTCTTTTTTGCCTACAAGAGACTCACTTAAATTTATTTGATTTTATTATTTTTAATTGACACAATAATTGTACATATTTATGGTGTTCAGTGTGATATTTTAACACATATATACAATGTGTAATGATCAAATCGGGGCAATTAGCATATCCATCACCTCATTTCTTTGTGTTGGGTCTCTGTACTATTTTTGAAAGTCTAAAATTATTTCAAAGCAAAAGGTTTAAGAAAGCTAAGGGGACAGTGTGTAATAGATAAGATTAGAATCTGAAAAGGGAGTTTGTTACACAACAAGATACCAAGAATAAGGATGGTGGCAATTGGGATAGAGATGAAGGAATAGCTGCTCAAGCTACTTTGAGGATAAAATTGAAAAGAGCTGGCTCCTAAAAGAGGAGGGCAAAGGAGAGAAAGGTGTAAAGATTCCTTAGTTCTGAGAAAAATGGAGGGTACATTAGTGTATTAAATGTGAGGTATTAGTGAGGCATCTGGGCATAACTGTCAAGGAGGTGGTTAGGAATATGAAACTAGGGCTCAAAAAAACTTTCAGGAATAAGCAATTTGGACTTAAGAGTCGCCCAAATGCAGGTAAGAGAACTAGAACCTAGCCGGGTTTGATTCCAAAGCATATCATTGTAAAGCTGAAGCCATGGGAGAGAGTGTGGCGAAGGAGGAGAAGACCAGAGGACAAAATTTTAGTGAATGGTTAGTTATATTAGGAGAGGGAAGAGAGAAGAGCAACCAGAGAAGGGGGAAGGGACTAGGACAATATTAAAAGTTCACTATTGCCAGTACTATGGAGAGGTTTAGAGGGGTGAGGAATGAGAAAAAGCTGCTTTATTTGGTGATTGGCAGTTGTTAGAGACTTTTGAGAGAGTAGCTCAGTAGAATACTGGGAGGTTGGGGTATTTTCTTTTTTTAAGGTTATTTATTAGGTACTGTATGAGATTAAAATAGACTTTATCTCTTTTTAAAAAGGCTTTATTTACCTCTTTTAATCCTCACACTGACTCTATCAATCCTTTTTACAGGTGAAAAAAAGTGAGATTGAGAGAGGTTCAATGACTTATCCAAGGCCTCATATAAAGTAAGCGTGGATACAGTTGTCTTTTTTGATGCCGAAGCTTATGATTTTAATAATTTGCCTCCTTTCTCACTCATGGAAGCCGGATTGCAAGTGGTTAAGGAGTAGTAAGGAAGCAGAGGTAGCAAATAGAGATGACTCTTAGGTCATGTTTGGTGGACATGAAAGGGAAGAGACAGGATGTAGCTTCTGGTTAGCAAGACAGAGGGAAATGTCTTTTTTAGGTTAGGGGAAACATTCAGGGTTTGTAGAAACTGAGAAAAAAACATAGTGTGAATTTAGAAAAAGAATGAAATAATATGTGAGAGAATGGGCAACATGCTGGGATCAAGAGTATAGGTGGAGTGGAGGCAGCTGGTTTGAAAAGGAAGGTAAATACTTCCTTCTCTGAGGTGGAAGTAAGGTGAATGTAGGTAAGAACTTACAGAGTTTTGAGATAGAGGCACATTGAGCTGAACTCAACCATAGTAACATAGGGCAGAAAAGGTGTGACAGGACCTTAGAAGGGTACAAATGATTTACACATCTGCTCCGTGGAAAACGGTAACAGATGCATAAAACGATGGCTTGGCAGTGTAAGGACTGAGCAGCAGGAAAGGCCCAGATGAGACCAGAATATGATCTGACAGCAATAGTAATGAGGCTGTTATCTGTCTGTCTCTAGAGGTGCCCATTCCAATGAATGAAATGCTACAGGTGGACATTCACTGTGTCGCATAGACATCTAAGGCTCTGGGACTTCACTGAGAGTTCCAGGTCTCAGTTTCCAAAGGAGAAGCAGGAGTCTCGCTGTCTTCCCTGGTAAGAGTATGGGACACCTCAGAATGAGGTCATACGTATTACTTACGTTTCACTGTGAGACCACCAAAATCTTCAATTTGTTTTCAGGACTGAAACAGAATACTACGAGGCCACAATTTTCCCTAGAGGCCTACATTTGTGAGACTAGCATTTTTCTTTTCACCAATATTTTGAAATAAAGTTCTTTTATACCAGTGGCTTTTGAGGTATCATAAAGCAAACATATTTTGGAAATGTTTTTGGAGAACTGCAATGTACTAACAGAAACACTTCAAGGTGTCTTTGGGCAGTTTGAGTACAAATAGGGAGAATCATCTTCTCCCCGTATCTCTAGGGTGGTGGTCTTCAAGGATAGGATGAAGGGCTCTGGTCTTGTTCTCATCTCCATGGCAAACCTTTCTTTCCTACACATGAAAGGCGTGGTCTGTGGTGCCATTCAGTTCAGACTTACCACCGCAGTCTCCTTGCTCCCCCTCCCCACTTTTCCTTCCTCTTTTTGTTAGAACGGGGAAGGGGCTTCTTCTGAGCGCAGTAGAAAAATTCTGGGTTGTTTGGTAGGGGCTTTTTGTGGTTACTGATAAATGCAATTTCCTAAGTACCTCCCAAAGGTTTTAGAACTGTGTCCTGATGCAGCACGGACTGGCAGTGGCAAGTGGGCACACACTGCAATGTACGCACAGCCAGCACTCCCTGTGATGTGCTTCCCATCAGCGCATGATGTACTCTGTCTAGACTCACGAGGTAACATGGGAGATAAGAAAGACTCCACATTGACAAGAAAGAAAAAGGGGAGAAAAGAAAAGAAACAGGGTTGGGCAGCCATTACCTTGGCCCGTTTCTTGCACAGCAGCACCACAATGCTCAGGTACCCTGCCGCAGCGGCATACCCCAGAGGAGTCAGGCCACTTTCAGAAGAGGCATCCACATTGGCCCCAAACTCCAACAGTAGGGCCACCATTTCTGTGTAACCAAGATGAGACTGGACGCATAGTATTGGAGCATTATTTAAAACCTCTGTCCGGTAATTAATATTGGCACCTCCCAAAATCAGCAGTCGGCTGACCTAGAAATAAGTAAATATGTAGAAATAATAATCAAACATCAGTCACATCCTTTTAGTTATCTTTTATTAAATCATCTGAGACTCTATCACAGTGTCTAGTACCATTTAGTAACTGCTTTATTTTATAATCTTCATTAGTTCCTTTTGCCTCCATTTATGTATGTATGTATTTATGTATTTCCATAGATTTAGGGGGTACAAGTGATTTTTTTTGTTTGTTTGGGTTTTTTTGTTACATAGATGATTTATATTAACACTGAAGTCAGGGCTTTTAGTGTATCAGTCACCAGAATAGTGTACATTGTACCCAATAGGTCACTGTTTATCCCTCTTTCCTTTCCCTCTTCTTAGTTTCCAGTGTCCACATTATGCCCATATCTACCCATCATTTAGCTCCCACTTATAAGTGAGAACATTTAGTATTTGTTTTTCCATTCCCAAGATACTTCACTTAGGATAATGGTCTCCAGTTCCATCCAAGTCGCCACAAAAGACAATATTTCATCCCTTTTTATGGCTGAGTAGTACTCCAAGGTGTGTGTTTGTGTTTGTGTGTTGTGTGTGTGTGTGTCTATACACACACATTTTCTTTATCTACTCATCAGTTGATGGGCACATTTGTTCCTTTTTCAATACTTTGCCTTTAGAAAGGAATGTAAAATGCTTCCTTTACATAAACTGCTCATTAGCAAGAGCAAATGCCACTCATACTGTAGAGCTGACCATAGTCTCTACTAATGAACCCTTGGTCAGAAAAGTGCCTACCAAAACAAAGGCTACGCTACCTGAGATCAATTTACTCTCTAAAATCAGCAGGACCTGATCCCATAGGACGAAGTCAGCTTATAGAAGGTAGGAGGACAACAGGGTTAGTCTTCAACAGAATAAAATGTAACAATTTAAAACATAAAAGATTATCAATAAAAGGCTAATAAAGAGGAGACAGTCTAAGGCAAATCAAAGATCAACTAAATAGCCACTTAACGTCCTTCTGACTTTATTTTTTTCAGTTAATTCTTTATTCTATTTATAATTTCTTTGCATTTACCTTTATATTTGGAGTGTAAAGGTTTCGTAAAGATGCCAATGCCATGGAAAGACCTTCTGTGCTATAGGAAATCCAGAGACCTTGGAGAATGGAAGATGATACGCCAACTTTTTTACTCAAACCCTGAAAAAGAAATATAGAGAGGATTAAATTATTGGCCCAGCTAAAAAAGTACCATGAGTGGTTAAGTTAGTGGCCTCTAGGTTTTCGGTACTAATGAATGACAGTGGAGTCTCGCCCTAACAATGTCTATGCCCAGCAGAGCCTAGCCACTCATGGGGACAAGGACTAGTTCTGTAGGAATAAGCTAACTTATATCGTCTCTATCTCAGCAGTCTTTAGCAATAAATCTACTTAGTATCTTTCTTTCCTGCTATATCTGGATGTAATTTGTTTTTCCATATCTTTTCTATTAACCTTCTTGAATAAGTCCCTAGACTTCAAGTTACTAAAGTACACACGGTGGCAAAATAATGTAGTATGATCATTGATTACCACTGCATTTTCTTCTTAAGCATTTGGGAAAACTATGTTTCCTAGCCACCATTAGCTGGGCCATGTGACTAAATTCTGGTTAATAAAATTGAGGCAGAAATAATATGTCCAACCTTGGCTCCAGAACCCTCTGCATGTTTCTCCACATTTTCTACTGTTCTTTTTGATGGAAGGCCAGATGCAGAGGAACCAATGGAGGATTCTGAGGTCCAAGGTGATTTTGTAACTACTATATAGAAGGAACCTGCCCAAAGATCTACACTGCACTGTGATATAAGGAGAAATAAATCTTGGTTGTGTTAAGTCATTGAGATTCTACAGGTTTGTTACAGCAGCTAGCATTCTTCACCCTGACTAATATACCCCAAAATAATCACATCTGTTTTTCCTTGGGCAGTGGGGAACCAATACAGGCTTGATTGCCATCAGCAATAAATTTTCTCCTAGCATAACTGCCATAGGTCCCACACAATACATACTAATGTTTACCCCTTACACATGGGCTTCTCCAGAAGGAAGTTGGAATAATTTGTTTTTTAAGTTTCCTGATGATTAGACACTCTCTGATAATCATCTTACTCTTCTGCCAATATCTGGGTCAAGTGAGTTAAACCAAGAAATCCTGAGGGCAGGAAGATATTAACAATGACATTTGGGACCTAGTAAATGGATCTGGGAAGGTATTTCTTTCAAAAACTTATACTACTTCTGCTTGCTCTGTCCTTGAAATGCAGGTTGTTCTTGCCTAGAATACCTACGCACATCCAAAATCAGCCAGGTGTGTTTATTTGGCATACTAGGGAAGGGGCATCCTCAAAGTAGAAATACTTAAGTTATTTACGAGTTATAAATTCCTCTAACAAAACCTCAAGTCATGGTGGTCAAGGTCTTCCTATAGAAGGCCCAGGCTCTCTAAAGAAAATTAAGAAAAAACTTCCCTAGCTCTTAGGGATTTCTCACACCAGAAGAATGGCTGAAAGATGTTGCTGTGGGAAGGCTGGATACATGAACATTTTGAAAAAGGCGTCTCTGACACAGGCTTTTTTTTCCCTCCTGGGGAGATATTTTTATGCAGCCAAAAATTAAATCATTATACTTTCACATTAAAAATTTTATTCCCAAGAAATGTTCAAGGCAGACCCTTTCCCTACACCTGATTTCTACACTTGAAGATTGGTGCAGGTGTTAGGGCAGGGTGGGTCAAAGATATCTAATGTTATATATCTATTTCTAACTTAGTATTTTAAAAAAAAGACTTCTTGCAATTATGAAAACAACACAAATTTGTTATAAAAATCAAATAAAATAGTATGGTATTACAAATAAAAGTAGTTCCCGTCTCAATTCTAAGAGGTAGCTCCTATTAACAGATTAGTGTTTATCATTTAAGATATTTTCTATGCATAGACAAATATACAGGCACAAGTATATATAAACAATGTAAAATTTATTTCATTAAACATGAAATTATTATCCATTATTATGGAAAATTTCAAGCCTATCTTCAAAAGTAGAAAGGAATAGTATAATAAATCTCCCATGTACCCATCACCTTACTTTAATAATTTTCAACTCATGCCCAACCTTGTATTATCTATGCTCCTGCCCACGTTCCCCTTCCCCCAGGACTGGATTATTTTCAAGCAAATCCCAACATCTTATCAGTTAATATTTAACGATTTCAGTAAGTGTCTCTAAACAGGTAAGGACTCTTTTAAAATATAGTCCAACATCATTATCATACCTAAAATTAAGGATTCTATGATATTAAATATCCTGACAGCGTTTACCTTAATTATCTCAAAAAAGGAACTAAAAATTTTTTTTGGTTTGAATTGGGATCCACATAAGATCCACATACTACAACTGGCTTAAAAACACTTTAAAATTTTAAAGGAATAATTAGATACATTTCTGTCAGCTTTCTAAACAAAATATTGTGGACATATTCCATGCCTGTACCCATTTTTTCTTCATTTTATTTCAAGAGAGAAATAGTAGTCCATTATATGGATGTGTAATGATTTATTTAAGTCAATTCCCTAGAGATGGATATTTAGGTAGTTCTGGGCTTTTTTTCTCCCTATTACAACTTTGTTTTAATAATCACCCTTGTGCATATGTCTTTATACGCTTGTATAAATATATCTGTAGGATATGCCTCAAGAAGTCGATGGATTTATAGTCAGTGTCATTTTGACATGGCTTTATCAAAGTGGCTACCTGCATCTAAACATTCCCAACATAAAATCCACAGCTTGACAAAACGAAGAAGGATGGTGCTACTTATTTGCACTCATTTCTCATTTCATTCTATCCTAATTATAAATGACAGACAAGAGGGTGAGCCAAAAAGCCTGGGCCAAATCCTGACAGAGCAGACCTCTAGGTTCCCAGAAACATGATCCCATGCTGGGAAGCTGAAAACGAATCTAGTTTTAACCCCTCACACCACAAGGAGATTATTTCCCCTTTCATCCTCCTCAAAGCTTTAAAAATGGCTACTTAATTTCTACATTATTTATATTCTCTCTGGCCTTGAGAAGGTTTAGCTCTGTTCTGAATCTCTCTACTAGAGTACCCACCCAGGCACCAAGAGCTGGGTGAACTGAAAAGAATAAGAAGGGTGGACGACAGCAGCTTCTGATTGCTCATTGTCACTTCAGAACCACTTTTAATTTGTGCTAGTAAGAGGGACATTGATCATATACTCTCTCATTTGGCTAATCAGTTTATAGGCAAACAGATATAAAAAACTGAAGTAAATACATCACTAAGTAGTTATGATTGTTTACTATGACTTATGAGATTGAATATTTCCAGTTCTTTTTGGAAGAATTCCAAATGCTACTCAGTCAGGGCTGGAGTCCAGACAAGTTAGATTCTTGAGCTTCCCTCTACTGTAGATCCTAGAAGACTGGGAAACTTAATTCTGAGTCCCTATATGGGCCCCAGCCTCCCAATTTACAATATGTGTGGGCCTCATCAAGACTTTTTGAGGAAGAATAAATTATATTAACCAATTAGATAGAAAAATCAGTAGAAAGAAACGTCAATAGTCCAATAGAGGAAATTTTTAGCAATGGAAGACATATCTTACCTATGATGGTTGAAGGAAAAAAAGGAAGGGAATGTAATATTTATTGATATCTACTGTGTGTCAGGGCCTTTTCATATGTTAGCTCCTTTAATTTAATCTAATCTCCACAACAGCCCTATAAGGCGAAATTTATCACTATTTTTATATAGGAGGAAACAACCTACAAAAGATTAAGTCATTTGCCCCAAATCATAAAACAGCTGGACCTGGAATTAGAAGCCAAGTCTGTTTTTATTAATTACAGCTTTAGTACATGTTTCTTCCATTATACCAAGTTAAAAAAAGTAATTTGTACTTCATTCAAGACTTCACTTCTGAATTCTGAACTAAGAATTCAGAATTCTTAGCTGAAAGAGTAGCAACTAGAATAGACAAAACAGCTGATCGCTGGCTTCTCCTTTTACCTTTACTTCCAAACCATTCTCCATCCTTGGTCCTCTTTTCCAAGATTGTCCTTCTTTATCTCAGAAAACCTCACCTACTCCTAAAGGCTTTACTCTTACGATTTTAACTAAGCATTACATGCTTCTTTTCCAACTATGAAATTTAAAGTAAAATTATATCTATGACCTGTAATAGTCAACTTTTTATTGAACATTGACTTAAGTGGGATTCATTAGTATTTTCACTTAATCAATAGAATTATTAGGAATATTATCTTTTTGGTTTTTTTTTTTTTTTTTTTTTTGAGACAGAGTCTCTGTCATCCCAGCTTGAGTGCAGTGGTGTCATCATAGCTTACTCCAACCTCAAACTCTTATGCTCAAGCAATTCTCCTGCCTCAGCCTCCAGAGTAGCTGGGAATACAGGTGAGCACCACCAAGTCTGGCTAATTTTTTTCTATTTTTTTTGTAGAGATGGGGTCTTGCTTTTTTTGCTCAGGCTGGTCTCGAACTCCTGAGCTCAAATGATCCTCCTGCCTTGGCCTCCCAAAGTGCTAGGACCACAGGTGTGAGCCACCACGCCCGGCCAGGAATATTATCTTATAAAGGAATAATGCTAGACTGGTGTTTATTAAAGTCACATGGCAATTCTCCTTTTGCTCAAGGTCTCTGGCATCAGAGAGAGCTCAGAAAATGTTGTATTTTGCTTCTCCGAAAGTTGTAGCAACTCATCCCCTGTGCTTAGGGCCTACAAATTTGAATTTGGTTTTCTCGAATGTAAATTGCCTCTGTTTTCTGTGTGACGCCCAGGACAGTTTCAGTCATTTAGGTGTAACAAAAGAATTTCAAACAAGAATGCCTAAGATGTTTAGAGAAAAGTTGGATGTTTCCGGAACGCTGAGTCATAAAATTTTACTCAAGAGGACTTAGGTGGACTTCCACTTCTGCTAATGGTAGATCTATGTAATTTTTTTGTTTGTTTTATAAGAGACGGGGTCTTGCTATGTTGCTCAGGCTGGCCTTGAACTCCTAGGCTCAAGTGATCCTCCCGTGATGGCCTCCTGAGCAGCTGGGACTATAGGCACGTGCCACTGTACCTAGCTCCAGATCTAAGGAATTTAGACCAACATTCTTGCTACGAAAAG